TACTGAATACATAATACTTGAAGACAGTGAAAAGACATTCCACAGAACACTTAAGGTACTGCTTGGCGTATTCGCTAGCTGGTGGGAGGGGAACGGTGGGCAGATCAAGCACTGACATTCTGATGAAAGGTTGTTATAAAGCCTGAACAGCAATGGCTACAGCTAAAATTTCAAGAACAGTCTGAAAGAACATACTGTAAATGCTAAGAAGTTAAACAGAGGCAAGGATTGTGTTCTCCCCCAAACTAGACTACACAGGTACCTTGTTCACTGAAACTTCAACTACCTTGACAGGACTGCATGGTCTTGACAAGTCAGAACTCTTCACAAAATAATCTTGTTGTAGAAGCCCAAAGAACATTATCACCAGCAAAACTGAGATAAGGTCTATAAAATTTCTTAGATCCAAACTTCTGACAGACAACTTTGAGATTCTGGGCTGGACTGAACATGAGATTATACATCCATTAGGTAACAGAAGAGCTTTAAAGCTTTCCTATGAGCCACTACATCTGTTACTGATATGCAGGTATCACTGTCACATAAAATGCTATGCTTTATTTGGCATAACAGCATAAAACCTGAGGAGCATACTTAGCACCAGGAATTATACCAGACCAAAATGAGACTGCAAAAACATACCTAGAATTATTTTTTACTTGGCAGAGACTGTTGATCAGGCAGCAGATATTCTCCAGCACTACTCTAGGCCTTCCTGAGCTAATAAAAAGCAGCTTTCCACAATGCTTAAGCAACAAGAAATCCAGGTCACCAGTTACAGAGTGCAGGTTCAGTACAAAAGAAGCACCCAGGAAAAAAAGGCATTTTCAAGAAGAATTTGGTCACTGCTTAGGTTCTCAGACTGACATCTGCAACTAGCCAGAACAAGCAGAGAGCTGGGGGCAAACATAGCTCATTTCATCCGGTTTCAGATTCTCTTAGCAAGCACTTAACTCAGTATGAAGGTTAAAGTTGGATTTCCTAATGCCAGAGACTTATTTTCTATTGTGAAACAGTTTGACTCTTGCTCCCATAGAGTAAAAATTCACACACTTTGTACTGTCCTTGATGGAAAAAATATTTATAAAGCATCTTCCATTATTCACTTCAACATCTGTTGGATCATGTGGGAATGAGTAGCATTTTGCAACTTACCTGTTTGCATGAGTAAGTGAAGAATACATACTGCCTCTTTGTCAGGGCAGCATATGGCATTTTAAATACCTGTACAGTAGAATACTTCATTGAGAAAAGACTTACTACATAGATCAGTTTGATAATTAAAAGAATCCAGGAAAATCTATGCACAGTCAAATACATTCTGATGATCAGATTCCTTGTATCCATAGGTTTATTTTCATGTGTTCCTCAGTTTGCTCCTGATCACTAATGTTTGTATTCTTCACAGAGCTGAGGTAACAGGGCGGGAACTTTAGTACTCAGTATTTTGCAAGGAACTACATTATAAGTGCCACTGAGAGAGTCAGAGCTCTGTATTGACATGTACAGCAAGACAAAACCATAAACTGAACAGCTATCTCACTAATAGTAATAGTGATACCAGAAGACAGATTTCTCTTCTACACAGTCTTTGATCCGAAATTTACTGGTCCTTACAAAAGCTTTCTTTTGTGACTAAGATCTCAGTCTGCTAGGACACTTAGACAGCACAACTAGAATTTCATCAGCCAGATAGTGCTAGCATAAGGCATTTTGTAAGTAGCTTTGCTGCCTTGGAAAATCCATAAAAGGATACTTTTTGTACAAATTATGATTTAGTCTCATTAGATCCAGTTCTTAGTTTTGGGCTGTGTAGACAGTGGCCTAGAAGCGTGTTCCTCTGCAAGCTAGTCCTGGACCTGCAGAGATGAAAGCAATCATCCTCCTGAATTTGAGGGATTGTACTGAGGAAAAGCATATACATCTAAAATATATGGGGAAAGAGAAGGCTGTCCTTGGAGGAGACAGTTCTCTTGTTCCTCAGTGGCACACCAGTTCTCGTCTTCAAAAGGTTACCATCAGTATGGTCCCCAAAGGAAGGAAAGCAG